CGCAGCCCAAATATAGGAAAACATACCTTTTAAATATAACTTTTTCACTGTGACATTTTCATTTGGGTGGAAGACAATATTCCGGCAAAACGAAGGTGAAGAAAGCCGCCATCCACCCCACACAACCGCGACGGCCCCACGAACTGCGCTAAATTCTGTGTCGGAAGGTCTCAAAGCAGTACAGCTCCTGGAGATGTGATACAATATTATGACGTCACGCATGTTACCTTCAATACATATAAACAAATTAGAACTTGGAAGCGCTGGACTTTTACTGGCCACCTATCATAAAGGTGCAGGAGGCGGCAGCAGGGTGTCGCAACCCCCCACCCCCCTCCAGTTCGGCAAAACTCAGTATTAGCCCACCGTTTCTTGGGAAGAACTGCGGATAGTTCCATGGTATTCATGAACTCCATAGGCGCTGTTCTCGCACCCCACCTCTCGCGAGTGCAAGTTTCTGACCTCGATATTTCTGATGTGTTCTCGGTGCTTCAGGGAATGCGACTTGATTAATAGTAAAACATAACACTCCGTATAAGTAATGGCGACGATGAAAACCAGGGCCCACTGGCGCACTCTCGGGTTGTCACAGATGTCCTGCGCCCGCTCGAGGGTCTACGGTCTTTGTTTGCGCGCCGTGGTTTACGAGGCTCGCAACACCGATGCCGTGTGGGCGAGCAGTCAGAAGACTCCCCGAGTTGTGAAGTCTGCCTTGTATCGTACGCCGGGCGGCACCATGCCATACCACCAGCGGCAGGTGGAGAAACACTGGAGTATGACTGGTTTGACAGCTGTCTCGCCATTCTTCATTACACGTAGCATGATTTTGACAGCCTTGACATGGAAACGTACTCGCCCCCAGCGGCTTTGGCACACCAGCTTATCGCGTCAAGCTCCAACTGTACTGCCAACAGATTCCTCGCAAGAAAGATGTGCTTGCTTACCTCGGTCGCCACCGCTGCCGCAGCTGGGTCGCTGGTCCACGCGCAGCCATGACGGCTGTGGAGCCGGTGAACACTGTGCAGCTCACTGGACACTGGGCGTGTTCTCTCGCGACTGTCGAGAGTCAGGCACCCGGCACGCCCTTGACAAAGTCCCTGGCCAGATACTTTTGTGGTCTAATGAAAACTCGTGGCTTGTCATGGGTCTGCACGCGTCATGCGTCATACCATGTGTCATAATACCGTTGAGCCCAGCGCCCGGATCGGATCGCCAGGTTTCGCACACTGTGACGCGCGTACCGCGCGCCACGCGCCCGGGACGTTGGAATGTGACCGGTCCGATCCGCCCGCTCACCGAGCACACCATGGGCGATCCGCCCACGTGAGGCTCCCGGTGTTGCTTAGAGCCGTGGGCACGTCACTCCAGCGCTGTAGGCCAACAGATCATCTGATGTAGAGGTACTCACCGTCACTGGGAGCACGAGATCCCTGCCGGGACGGGTTGGCACGAACCGGTATCTATCACCCCGGGTATGAACGGCCCCCTAGCCGCGGGTAACGCGACTCAGACTCGGCTGCGGCCGGCCCGGACCCTGGAGGTCAGCCTCCAACGTGAGCAAAATACCACCGGATGGTGTCAGCGCCGTCTGGCCTTGCAGAGCAAACTCCACGGCCCACGCACAGCTAGCGTTCCACTGCAGCGGCCCGACGTCCAGTCTCCGATTGAGTTATAAGCGGTGCACGGTCGTTTGATACGGCAGCTGGCATTCGGCGAGGCATCCGCTCGTGGGGGAGGCGGGTGGATGGTGCGGCGCCGCCGGCGGCCCGCTGTGCAGCAGCCCCAGCCGGGCGGGCGCCGGCGGGCCGCTCCAGCCGCCGCAGGCCGGGAACTACGGCCGATGAATTCAGCACACGCCCCAAGGTCGCCCCGTGGACCGCGTAACGAGCAGACGGTCTGGTCGTTCTGCGGCGCCGGCGGCGCGGAGGGCGGCCCGGCGGCTTCCGCTGGGGCGGGGCGACCGGTGCAGCGCGAGACGCCGACCCTGGAGCCGTAACATCTCAGTCATCCCGGACACTCGCAAGCCCGCGGCGCGAGGGCGGGACGCTTGAGAAGTTGCTATGCACCGGCGCGTTGCAGGCTTGACCGCATTCCCCACATATGCGCGGATGGGTATGCGACAGCCTTGCCGCGGGGCATGGAAGGGACGACGAGCACAGGTGGTAATTGGAAGGATCCATTCGTTCAGGGCGTTCGCGGCTCGAGCGAAGACGCGATGGGAAGACGCTGCGACTGATTACTGCGCAGCACGAGTGAACGCGAGCCTCCATGAAAAATGTATGAAGCCAATCGGCATTTTCCCACGAACAAAAATCAATGACGGACGCGAGTCAAGCTCGTCATAAAGGGAATGCAGACTAACAAGCAATTACACCAGAACGGAAAGGAGGGACGTAGATTACAAGCTTATTTGCATGCATATATATATATATATATATATATATATATATATATATATATATATCGTGTCGCCACGAAATAGTAACAAGACAAGTCGCACACATGCAGAAAACTCGAGCAAAAATAGTAAAATAAGTCAAATGACAAAACCCCTCTCCCATATGAGAACCGTCAGGCAATAGATGCACTGCGAAGTACGGCTACTCAGAACAGACAGCGGGGGCGACGTCACCTGTTGAGCCAAAAACGCAATTTCGCCTCTGCGCCCGGCCACATATGTAACCGCGCAGCAGTCACCAGCCCCGGTAAGCGCAGCTGAATGTAAATCGCTGCTGCACAGCGGGCTCCTCTCGGTGCCAGCCAGCTTTCACCGCGTGCACACCAGCTGGGGCCGTGTTGCTACCCTTCATACACAGATGTCGCTGCGAGCTCATGGTCAGCGCACCTGCGTGTCGGCAGAACACCAGCGGTTCGGCGTCGTCGCCGTCGCGCGCGCACACGGTATGTGGTTCTGGTCGCGTCTGCCGCTCACTGCTCAAACAAATGAGCCGCTGTGCTAACTGGCGCATGCGCCGGAGCATGCAGGCTGTGTGGAGCCCAGAGACCTTCCTTTACGCGTGAGCGTGGCCGATGTTCCACGAAAACAAAATGCCGCTAACCACCAGATGACTACACTGCCAAGCCATTGCCAGAGGCGTATAATCGCTCTTCGCTTGGGTCGCTCGGCTCCTCAGGATGACCAGGTGCGCGGCGTTGGCTTAGGTCGAAGAATCATCACTAAGAACAAGACATCTGCATGATACCGAGATCAACTTTGAAATGTGCCAGCACTTGACCACCGTGGAAGAACATCAAGACGGTACGTGTCCAATCAAGTAAATCCTTCAGCTATTTTGAGACGTCTTCAACTAGGATATCCACTGTACCAATTCAACACCCATTGAAATGGAAAAACAAGCCTGGCGGCGTGCGCGAGATGCGTTCAAAAGGCTGCGATTCAGTACTGGTGTCATTAGTTTCGGGAAATATCCCGTCCAGACCAGCTTCCGTCAACTGACCATCATGTGACTAGATCTGACCATCAGAAGACGGCCCAGAAGACATTTTGACATCAACGAGACGCGACTGCAATAGGAAAAAAATGACGGTTTGACACGAACGAATCATTCCAGCCGTGTCAATACAGGGCCGAACCGTCATTTAATTTGATCTGCGACGAGTCAAGCGACTTCGTGGTATCCCGCCCAAAAGAATCCTCAATTTTTTGTAGACCAAGCGCACGTCCCAGAGTGACGACGGGTGCATGTATCGGATATGTGCATACACTATTGCGCATCTTCACTTATCGCTGCTGTCCAAGGCGCCTTCGCAAGACATCTGGGCGAGATTCGAAAAAAGTCCAAAGCGGCAACATAACAAGCCTTTATTGGATTAACTTTTAACTATAACTACGCACAAGACGCATCACAGACACTACACCTAATTAAAGCGATCTTACCAAGAAACGGCCTGAAACTGAAGACGGGTTAACGGGTTAGCGAACGCTTTAGGATAGGCTTGTCGAGGACAGAAGCTCGGCCTTCGTCGGTGCCTGGCGCGTGGCGCGCCGCGGCCCACCTGCGCCGAGAACGGCACTGGGTCGGCTCGGCTAGTACCGGGCGGGTGCTTCTGGCGAGCAGAGACGGACAGTCTCCTCAGAGCAGTGGGCATAAGTCTGCCTGTTGTGAGAGCTGATTTAATCTATGCGCAGACGAGTCCCCAGCAGCCCTCACTTCGGTCACGCGCAGAGTGGTGGGGACACTGGAGGAAAGGCATTGGCTAGTCGAAGCTCTGTCAGGGGTAATCCACGTCTCATCAGCAAAAGGGGAGACGCAATTTACTAGTAGAAAAATAGTACGCAAGGCGCAATTTAGGTTGTTGAAACAGCGCAGATATGAAATAGGGCAGTTGCCTGCACGAAGATAATGAATTGCACATTTATTACACTATAGTTCCAAAATTGATTTGAATTGGAGACAACACCAGAAGAACGCATGCAATTTTTGTCCTCAGAGAAGTGGTCAGTATTAGTAACAATGATAACCGCATGACGCGAATGTTGGCTAGAGAATTACAAACGTGTAGAAATAATACAAAAATATACACGCATGCGCTGGGTTCCAGAAATTCAAATAGCTCCGCTCTGAAAAGCTAGAACATAACGAAACGCCCCTAACGGCCAGTACTATCCGAACGTGCTCGGACGTCCTGATTTACCAGATGCGTTGGCGTCTACCTAGCGTTGGCGTCGGGCGGCGGCGCGCGCGGGCGGGCGGGCGGGCGGCGTGGCGACGCTCCGCGCATCCGCGAGCCGGGGCGCCGGTCACGGCCCCAGTCGACACACATCAGGACGCATCCCGCCGCCGAGCCGGGCTCGGCGCGGCCGGTCACGCGCTCGGTGGCTGCCACCGCTGGACACGTGGACCGTTCGAGCCGAGCCGAGCCGGGCTAGGTCCTGCTACGTCGCGTCGGCGCCCCGCCCGGAGCCGGGCTCCGGGACAGAGTCCCATCGCGTGGTCGGCACGGCACTAGCGGCGCTGCGGGGCCCGGCTGGGCCGGTGTCCGCCACGGAGCCCGGCTCGGCGGCGCGGGTGGCCGGCCCCGTGACCGCCTCAGCTGGCGCGGTCGGCTGACCCGGCCGGCGGCGCGCCCCTCCGCTATCGAGTCACGTCCACATATCACATGGGCCGGCGTCGTCACGCGCGGCCCCCGAGTCCACCTAGTCGAGGGAGACCAGCTGCAGCACCACCGTCTTCTTGCTCATCCAGTACCTGGGGACGGCAGCACTAGTGTGAGGCACGCAGACCGGCACGGAAATCTATACCACAACGGACTGACTGACAGGGGAGGAGGAAATTACAGTCACATCCGTCCCTGCGGCTGTTTGCCAGCCGCAGGGACGAAGGTGGGAAGCCGGCGTTATACACCATGGATATAACTACATCCGTAAAGAACCGGTCAAAAGCGTCAGATCTCCTGCGTCATGTAACACGACTTAACGCTAAATCGCGGACGGAGTGTCGTTCCGTCAGCACCGTCAGCTCAACACGAGCAGCGGTCATGTTCGCAATCAGCACACAGCGGGCCGTACCTTCACCGAGACCGTCACCGTGGCGAAGCCCTCTCCGTCGGCACTTTTTGGGAGACACGTGGCACCAGTGACAATGGCAGGTAGGAAGCCGGACGAGGCCCACATCACGGCGTCAGTCCACCCCGCTGTTGCGCCAGTCATCGGCGCATGTACTTAATACCATGACTGGTGGTAAGCCGGCCGGTGAACGACTCCCACAGTGCCGGTGGCGCCCCGGCCCTTTGCTCAGAGCAGCGGCACCTCCGACCCCTGAACGAGCTCCGCCCGGCCGGCCGCTCACCCGAGCCCGGCGCCCAGCAGCAGGGACAGGATGTTGGTGACTATGAAGGTGCAGAGCACACCACGCGAGAAGATGCCCGTGTTGCCCACTTTGGCGTTCCGGATGCTGAGGGTGCGCTTGGCCAGAGTGGGGTGCCGGAACCGCCAGTCTCTGCGGACAGGAGGGCGTAGGGACGGGTCAGCGGTGGCGGCAGCCTCTCCGGTCGGGCGCCGCGCCGTCTCCGGGTCACAGCAACCCCCCCCCCCCCCCCCGTCAAGACGCGTGACGCAGCTAAGGGGACTAGCGCCAGTACCGACAGGCATCGGAGACATTCAGCAAACACCATCGCAACGCCGACCTCTTCCGAAGATCGGTCAACACTTATGTAAGTAATAAGTGCTGGCCGTCAAGACGGGGGGAGGGGGGGGAGAGAAGGGGGGGGGGGACAGAGATGGGGTGCTGCCGACGGCGCCAGAACATCACGAAGAAGTCAAAATGTTGACATCTCTGGCAAAAATACACACAGAGCGTCTGACCAGAGCGCATCCGCGTCCGCCTGGCCACCGTCGCTGAGTCAGCGCGCCTGTCCACGGGTGCAGCTGCACGTGCGCAGCTGATGCAATGAGTCCGATCGGCTGGGTGGGACGGTGCCAGTGCAGGGACGGGGCCACCGTCGAGGGGTACCGTTCACATCACGGGCCGCGCCGGTCGCAGCGCTGGCTGACGAAACGGTGCGGTGGCGCGGGAGCGGGAGCAAATCACGACTCTCGGCGTGCCCAGGTGGCAGCGACCTGTACTGGCGGCACCGGTCAGCACGACCGTGCAGCTGGTGCTGACGGAGCTCCGCGTGACTCACGGGTCTCCGGGCCGGGCTCGGCCGTGGCAGGCGAGCATTCCCAGAGGCTGCAGCGGCAGTGTAGCGCCGGCGCACGCCAAGTTAAATGGCGGCCGCTGCGGCCGCTCCAATCCGAGCCAATCGGACCGGCAGCGTCGTAAATGGCCACAGAGTGCACCGCAACTCATGGTCTTTGCCGCCCCACATGTTGCATATGGAGCCAATCCAGCTTAGCATGACTCGCCAGCCGCCTCTCTCCACTCCACAGTCGGCGGCTGCGTCACGCCAGCCCTGCTCCGGCCGGCTGGTGACGTCCTGTGACCCGGCTGCCGCTGTTGACACACGGCTCGCACCGAATGCCAGCTGATGCTGCAGGACGTCCGGCGGCGGGGCGGGGGCGGGAGGGGGCGGGGTGCATTGTGACCGTGCAGTGTTTGTTCGGGCGGGCACGGGCCCGTGGGGCGCGGGAAGCAGGGCAGCCGTCCGGCTGCGGCGGCCGGCCGCCAAGGCCAGGCGCCGTCTGGCGCGCGTTCGACAGCTGAGGCCGCCCACAGCCGGCGCACGGTGCGCGCCGTCGCCGGGCGAGGCGCAGCTCACTGACTTGGGCGGCGTGAGGTCCGGCCGACTGCTCCAGTCCCACACCCAGTCCGTGTTCTTCTCCAGGCCGAGCGAGTCCTCCTGAAACCACAGCACGGGTGGCGGCGTGAGCGCGGCTGTCGTGGCCACAGCGTCGCGGCGCGTCACCCGGCCTGACACCGACATGACGAAGTTCACAGGAACGTGCGGAGACACGCGTCACAAGCATGAGCCAGACCTACGCTCACCCTCTGGCATCACACTGAGCGCGGCCCGCGAACTTCGCACCAGAGCCGTGGACGGCGGCTTGTCACTGCTGCGCACGCGTCGTGTTCGCGGAGCCCAGCCCCGTATGGTTTTCCCTGCGGCGGTGACTGGCCCCGTCATCAGGACAGGGGCAACGGAGCGGCCGATGTGGTACATATGTAGCCGACCGACGGGCTCGGCAAGGCGGCCGAGCTGTCTGCAGGCGTGAGGCGGAGCGGACGCGGAACAGCTTACCAACCGTTCCGCCGGGCCAGGAATAGCCGGGGGCGCGGCGAGCCTGCAGACGACGGGCTGGCTGGACCGACTGGTACCGAGTCAGTAGCCGTCCCGGCCCGGCCCTCCCCGCCCCGCCCCGACGCTCGCGGCGGCCGACACACCGGCGGTCCGACGGGGCAAAGCGGCTGCGCCGCGGGCCGTCTCCGGGTTGGTGGTACGCAGCGCACATTACGCAGGCCCGACCGGGTCGATGACCGGCCTGAGGTGGTGCCGCCCCTCCCCGCACAGCACGAGGCGCAACACGCTCGGCCATCTACAAGGCAGAGCTGTTGGCCTGCAGCCAACGGCTCGCTGCGTCCGCCGAACAGCAAGACAACGCCGCGCCAGTGAGCCAGCACTGACGCACCATTGGACCCTGCCTCAGTCCCTCCCAACTGCGCCCCTTCCCTCCGCCGCCCCCACCAAGCCCGTCGAAACTCAGCAGACGCCGCCGCCGCTGCCCAGCGCCGGCACAACACCTGCCGACTCCGGTGACACATGAATGGAGACGTCGTGGCGCGGCCCGGCCGGGGCCGCCTCGGCAGTCAGCGTCGCCGTACTGCGCAGCGGCGCGGCGGCGCGCTCCGGCTGTCACCGCCGCGGCTGCGGACCGCACGGCATGGCGCGGCACGGCACGTCCGCCGGGCCGCAGCGGACACGCCCGCGCGGCGCCAACACCGCGCCCGGGAGAGACGTCGGGCTCGGAGTCCGCCGACCACCGTCTGCGAAGGCACGCTTCCCGCTGGACTTCAGGCCGGACGGGGCGACGGACCGGGTCCGGCCGGGTGACGCCGGGTCCAGCGTGACGCCCGGCCTGGCGCTCCGCACACGAGCCGAGCTCGGCGGCCAGACCAGGTGACTGACGGCTCTGTCCGCGCGACCAGGACCACGCTGCGGCCATCAGCGCCACGCCGCCGGTCACCGACGACGAGCGCCGGCAGTGCAGGCGTGGTTCGCGCGGCTCTCTGCAGCATTCCGGCAGCGAAAGTAAACACGGACAGAGCCGCCGACAGTTGATTGGAATCTGGACAATTCCACTGTGCGTCCTCTTTGTCTGAGCGTCCTGTATTTTCCAAGTCACCTGTCCCGGCCACAGGCCGTCCTGTCAAACACAGCAGACAATTGGTCCCTTTAAGCACTTGTTTCGCCTCTTTCACCATCCCACACACCAGTTATCGCACGATTATTTGCGCCGCCACAGCTGCTCTGCAATGCAGTGTGACATCCGTGCGCATCTGCCGACACCTGAGGGCACCGACCGGCCTGATAGGGGACCGCCGATCCTGGTCAGCGCGTCGGCGTCACCGCAGCCGTCCGGCCAAGTGCGTGTCAGTCGTCTGCGACGCAGGGCATCCGGCTTCGAGCGGCCCCGCCCCGGCCGCTATCTCGCACACAAAGCCCCGCCGGAGGCCGAACGCTGGGAGGAGACCAGCCGGCGGTCACCCGCCTTACCGCGAAGGCTTGGACAACGACCAAACGGGACCAGCAAACGAAAAGAACGCGCCCATGACGCATGATGCAACCCGTTTGTCACCGTCCGCCGCAGCTGATGCAACGATAGCTATCAAAGCCAAAGAGGTGATGGGCGACCCGTCGGTCCGCTCCAGCCGGGCGCCGCCGCCGCCGCCTCCTGCAGACGGCGGGCAAACCACGCCGTCAAACCACTCAGCTGCAACAGAGAAGCTTTCCAAACTGACGCTGACCTTGTTAAAATCAGACTGTTCTCGTGTTGCAGAAACGTTTTCAAAACAGCGGCTGACCTTACTAGAATGACTGGAGGAGAAACAGCAGGGGCTCTGGGCCAATTTCAAGCAAAATACCACTGAATTGTGTATTAGACGTTCCCAAACATCTAGCCTTCCAAAAGCGTGAAACTTCTCCACTCTATCCATCTACGCAAGTGACTGCTTCAACCAGATTGCAACATGTCCACTCACGCCCTGCTGGCTGTAGCTGACCTACCGTAACAGATAGCCCGAGCGAATAAAGAAAACTGTTTGATTCGGGCAAACACAATGGAAATTTACACAATCGTCCTTGAAGTTGTCCCATCGTATCTCGCGCAGTGAGATATCAAGAAGAGCACACAACTAACGAGCGATTCAATATTTGGCAATCGACAACGAGCCCCCGAAGCGTGTTCCCCAGGGTTCGGCTCTACGCCCGATGCAAGGACCTCTGATGCACTTCCTGGTGAGGCTGGTGGGGTGAGGACGACTCGGGTCTGCCCACGACCAACCCCATTCACCGAACGTGATGCAACGCTTCGATGACGACGTCAGTGCTGATGCTCTGGATCGGTAATCCCGAACACCTCGCTCGTTGCCGTTAGGCGGGCGGAGAGCCGGGCAGAGAGCCGGGCGGCAGCGGACTCGGGCCGGCCTCGCCGCCCGGCCGGTCGGCCCCGCGCCGCCCCTCCCACCCAAGGTCGGCTCACGGGCCGTTACGGCAGTGACGGGACCAGGCGGAACTGGCGCACCCACAAGACCTACCGCAGCTGACCGCTGGCTGGCCCGTCCTTACGCCCGCCCGCTGGCTGGTCCGTCCTGTACGCCAGCTCGTTCGCTGGGCCGTCCTGTACGCCCGCCGCTGGCTGGCCCGTCCTGCACGCTCGCCCGCTACCTGGTCCGTCCTATACGCCCGCCGGCCGGCTGGGTCGTCCTGTACGCTCGCCCGCTGGCTGGGTCGTCCTGCACGCCCGCCCGCTGGCTGGGTCGTCCTGCACGCCCGCCCGCTGGCTGGGTCGTCCTGTACGCCCGCCCGCTGGCTGGGCCGGCCCGCGCCCACCCATCACCTCCCGACACCGCTCTCAAAGGCCGCTCCAACGCACGACCCCTGACAAACCGTCTGGCGTCTGCCACCTGCCTGCGGTCAGGTCACCCGTGGCCCGGCAGCTAGTTGTTTGGTCCTTGGAAACCCGGCGCCTCAGTGACGATTGTTTACTTGGTATGCGACAGCGAACACTGACGCGCGCGCATGTGTGTGTGTGTGTGTGGTGCACGCATGCTTGTCTGCGTGATTGCGTGCAGCTTCCACCAGTTGAGCAATCAGCTGTAGGGTGAAATGAATGATGGGTTGGAAAACATGATGGTTTGATGATGATTTGATTGGACATTGATATACTGGCGGGGTGACGACATCACGGCTGACACCAGAGGGCCTGATTTTTTCTGGACCGAAAGTCTGTCCGAAGCCAGGCGCCCTGTCACGATGCCGCCAAAGTTCCAAGAGTTCCCCGGCCACCGGCCTGGCGACACGCCTGCCCCTCGGCTGCGCGGCAAAGGTAACGACTACCGTGAGGGTCCAACAACCGGCCTCGGTCCCGCGCTCCCCAACACGACCAGCCCTGTCTAGCTCCTCTGGTCATCACCCCCGCCCTGAGGCCCGCTCCGAGCCGGACCCCTCAGCGCCGAACCCAGCGTCAGTCCCCGTTTCCCGGCACGACCAGCCCTGTTTAGCTCCTCTGGTCATCACCCCCGCCCTGAGGCCCGCTCCGAGCCGGGCCCCTCAGCGCCGAACCCAGCGTCAGTCCCCGTTTCCCGGCACGACCAGCCCTGTCTAGCTCCTCTGGTCATCACCCCCCGCCCTGAGGCCCGCTCCGAGCCGGGCCCCTCAGCGCCGACCCCAGCGTCAGTCCCCGCTCCCCAGCACGACCAGCCCTGTCTAGCTCTTCTGGTCATCACCCCCGCCCTGAGGCCCGCTCCGAGCCGGGCCCCTCAGCGCCCCTCCGCGCCGACCCCAGAGTCAGTCCCCGCTCCCCGACACGACCAGCCCTGTCTAGCTCCTCTGGTCATCACCCCCGCCCTGAGGCCCGCTGCGAGCCGGGCCCCTCAGCGCCCCCCCCCCCCCCCCCAGCGCCCCTCAGCGCCGAACCCAGCGTCAGTCCCCGCTTCCCGGCACGACCAGCCCTGTCTGGCTCTTCTGGTCATCACCCCCGCCCTGAGGCCCGCTCCGAGCCGGGCCCCTCAGCGCCGACCCCAGCGTCAGTCCCCGCTCCCCGGCACGACCAGCCCTGTCTAGCTCCTTTGGTCATCACCTCCGCCCTGAGGTCCGCTCCGAGCCGGACCCCTCAGCGCCCCTCAGCGTCGATCCCAGCGTCAGTCCCCGCTCCCCGGCACGACCAGCCCTGTCTGGCTCTTCTGGTCGTCACCTCCGCCCTGAGGCCCGCTCCGAGCCGGGCCCCTCAGCGCCCCTCAGCGCCGACCCCAGCGTCAGTCCCCGCTCCCCGGCACGACAAGCCCTGTCTGACTCCTCCGCTCATCACCTCCGCCCTGAGGCCCGCTGCGAGCCGGGCCCCTCAGCGCCCCTCAGCGCCGAACCCAGCGTCAGTCCCCGCTCTCCGGCACGACCAGCCCTATCTGGCTCTTCTGGTCATCACCTCCGCCCTGCGGCCCGCTCCGAGCCGGGCTCCTCAGCGCCCTGCCGGCTCACCTTATTCAGGTAGTAGTCGCGCAGCTCCTCCAGATCGGTGGCAAACTCCGGATTGGGACTGTTGGGCGGCGACTTGGGCCTGTCGGTACAGAGACGAGCAACGTCACGAACATGCTGCGTTGAGCACAGCTCACAGCCTTCCTACGGCACACAGCCCTGCCAGCAGCGTGTGGTAAACGTCCGCCGAGTCAGACAAAGGTCTGGCCGCAGGCGAGCACACTGGCTGGCATCACAATGGGACACGCCTGGGTACCATCTGTAACCTGAGACGCGTCGTTAGGCGGACCGCCTCGTTGCAGTGCTGTGTCCTGCCTCGTCGGGCGCAGTGCGGGTGCATTGCCTGTTGCCCTCCGGATTATGGCGCCGGCACGGGGTCACGCTGGCACGCAGTGTCGGAGTGGCATTGAGGGATGGCTCGGAATGTCTCGGTTGCTACCGGCTCTATTTATCTGGGCGAAAGGCAAACAGTTTATAAGCATTGCATCCCGGGCAGCCAGTCGACCATTGCAGCATCTGGATAGGACTGCTGCATGTAGGAAAGCGAGCTGCGACAATGGGCATGTTCACGGTTTTGGGCTGAGTTAGCGGGGCTTACGCTGAAATGGTGTTTCGTCACATTGTAATTTTCGTTGCATCTTTACATCATTTCACGGCTATGATGACATTTTAAGTTAATGCTGCGGATCCCATGCGCCCCGCGAAACATACAGAAGCGGAAGCAAAGCCAACAGGACCAGCACATAGGCGCACAACCGCGGAAACAACGGCATGACGTAACGCCAGACCGCCTGAAATCCAGCACACGGCTGGTTTTGGCTGCCCGGAGGCCTCCCGGACCGACCGGGGGCGGACCGCACGTGCAGCCCGGCCGGCTGATGCTCGGCATTGTCGCTACGAGACCGACTGTAGATGGAGAATTACATGCAGAGCATGTCTGCCGAGCGGGATCAGTCAGCGGGCTCGTTCAAGCGGAGTCGGCTACCAATCCAAATTCGCTGAGACCTTGAGAGTCGGCAACCAGACCTCAACGGGCCTCGTGGCCGCCCAGAGCGTGCGGTTGGCTCCGGCCGCCCGTGACACGCACGGGACATCCGCGGCCACTTTCGGAAACGCCTGACACAACAAGATGCAGGCCCTGCACGGCACGACTGCGTGGGCAGACCACAGCCCGACATCGCGGCACGGCGGTGGCAGCGCCCACGGGCCACAGGGCCGGCCCGAGGCTCGCGCACAGATCGGCAGCGCTGCCTCCGTCCCATCCCTTGCTCCCAGCGCCGCCCTCCTCTCCCTCACCCTGTCCTCTCGTCTCTGGTCCCCTCCCGCCCTCCCCGGACAGTCTGGTCCGGCTCAGGGCTATCTGGCGCGGCGTCGCTGCCTGTCCAACACGGCCTGGTTGCGCTCGGACAGACTCGGCAAAAAACGTCCCTAGTCCCGGCCGGCCTTGATCTTGAGACCGGCCCGCAGCTCTGAGGAAGTCCAGAAGTCTGTTGTGAAACGCCGGCTGGCACGATGTCAACAGAGGGGTGACAACACACGTTAAGCAGCCGCGGGTGACACCAATCCAAAACAAAACGCGACCAAACTACGCACGAGGCCGGCGCAATGAACCATTGCTACTGATACCTGACCTCGGTCTGTATCAACAAGCTTACCCCGCACACAGCCTATCGGAGCCTGAATACCTCGCACGCCATCGTCAGGAGCCTCGACCCCTTTACAGCGCGTCACGCCCGTTCCCACCACCCAGCGAAGTAGACCAGGCTGCCCAACGCCCCCGTCCTGTGCCACACGCCGCACGCTGACCGGTCCGGCCTCCGACCCAGCCCCCGGAGCTGCTCGTGACGGCTCGGGCTGGCCGCATGGCACGGGCCGCACTGTGCGCCGCCTCGCCGTGGGTCAGACCGGTCCACGGCGCAGCTGCAGGGCGGCGGCGGCGCCCAGGACGGCAAGCTCGGCTACTGCCGCGCCATCACGCCCCGGGCGCCGGGCGCCGCGTGATCGGCGGGGCGGGGACCGGCTGCCCGGCGCCAGAGCAGCGGTCCCCGCTGCAGCCGCTCCGGGCCGCTGGGACCGCTGCGGCGGGTGCGGCACCTTAACAAGCAGCGGAGAGCAGATTCGGGTCCGCCATAAATGGCCGGTGAGGGCGGCAGCTCTGCCATCAGCCCTGCAACACGTGTTAGCCGCACGCGGCAGCATGACGCCGCCAACGGTTAGCCCTGGGACACGCCGTCGGTCGGACGCGGCAACATGACGCCGCTAACAGTGAGCTCTGGCACACGCTGTCGGTCGGACGCGGCAACATGACGCCGCTAACAGTCAGCCCTGGGACACGCCGTCGGTCGGACGCGGCAACATGACAGCGCCCACAGTCAGCCCTGGGACACGCCGTCGGTCGGACGCGGCAACATGATGCCGCTAACAGTCACCCCTGGGACACGCCGCCGGTCGGACACGGCAACATGACACCGCCCACAGTCAGCCCTGGGACACGCCGTCGGTCGGACGCGGCAACATGACGCCGCTCGCAGTCAGCCCTGGGACACGCCGTCGGTCGGACGCCGCCCGCCGTCCCTGGCTGACGCCAATGGACGGACGGCCTTACCATGTGGTGGGTGCCGCACCTCAGCTAGACAGTGCAGCTTGCATGCCATTTTACAATCATTATTTTCGTCATGTCGGATAGGCGCTCAGTCATGACGGGTGATAGGAAACCATTTCTTTGTCGGACGCCGAATATCATGGCCTCGAAGGCACATAATCGTTATTGAGATCAGCGCCGCCTATCAATCAAATGCGAGCGCATCGGTGTAAAACACAGGACAAAGCAGATGCTTCAAGCCATGAAATATGGGCCATGCAACAGAAAAAAAGATATCACATTATGGTTGTGCTTGATTTGCCTATGAATTCTCAGGACCATAATTTGGACTCCGCGAATCCACAGACGAAGACTACAAATCCTTTTTCGTGAGCCTATCGCCGCATCAACACAGAGCATCCTCTCGCCCACGTCATCTGGCGGCTGACAACGATAAACTCGCTGCGTTCGTGGACTGAGGTCGGCTTGTTTAGATCTGTTTGACCTCTGAGCGCCGCATGCGACCTCTGCACGCACTCTGGCGCCCGCAGGCAGCCGCACGGTCACCCAGCTTGCAGACGGTGCCGACGTCAACTCAACCGGCAACTCGGGCAGCTAGATAAGATCAACGGCTGCACCTCAACTACACGGAAATGCTACGCAAAACCCACGCTCAGCGCGGCGCGGAGTGTTCTCTGTAAGTGGAGCGACCCGCCCAAGTCGCTGCAGTACAGTACGGTACAGTGTGGGCTCGGTTCCCCGCGGTGCCACACCTTCCTGCCAGGGTGAGAGCCAGGCGGCGCCATATAGCGCCTCAGCAGCTGACTGCCTCGCGAAGCCCCAACGACGATGACGACTCCGGGTCTCTGCGGTAGGTCAGGCCCGAGCTGAAGCCAGTCCCGTGTGACGGACCACTATTCGTCCGCAGCAGGGCAGCCGACCCGTGGCAGCGCCGCCGCCAGCACCGAGCAGACGGCGAGCGGTCCAGGCCGGGGACGCGGCGGCCGTCAAGGCCGCGGCGACGGGCTGAGTCGCGTCCCGCAGCCGGCCGCCGGCGCACCCGTCCGTCAGAGCGGACGCGAACGGGGCCGTCGCGCTGGCACTGGCCACATGGCCTCTCTGGAAGCCACCGTGGAGAGCGGTGGCTCGCACCTCACGCAGTTCAGCGCGTCATGCTATCCAACAACAGCGCATCTCCTCAGGGCTGTTGAAGTGATGTGCGATCAATACACACAACGGTTGGAATGAAACGAACCAATATAACGAGTCGGTAACATCTCCGCTCACGTCACCGCGTCCCAGCGCGGGCCAACACGAAAGGACAACGGACGCTGCCTAACGCGGCGTGTCGTGTCCTTCGATCCCCCATATTTCTTCTCGTTCCCTTTGTTCCGATTCCGGCGGCGCGTCGTTGTTTTTGCCGCTGTGTCGGCTGCGCGCGCGCACCTGGGCCAGACCGACGTCAGAGCGGGGCCGGGACGGTGGGGCCGGGGTGGCGGCGCACCTCTGCGGCGGCGGCGGCGGCGGTGGCCGATCGACCGCGGCGCCATGGGCTGCTCGCCCCCTGGCCGGGCCGCTGACCTGCCGCCAGCTGACGGTCCCAACTGCGCCGCCGCGCCGCTCCCAGATGCGGCGGCGGCGTGACCCTGGTCTCGCCCGGCTGAGTCATGTCGCGCGTCGTGACGCGTCGGGTCAGCTGGTCCGTATCAGGGAGGCCGGCGCCCCCGCCACGCCACCGGCCCGCACGTGCTATCGAGCGGGCCCGGCCCTTTGTTCACGTGCTCAGCTGCGCGCTGCTCCGATACTGACGTCGGGTCACACGCCCGCTCTACGAACGCGTTGAGGTTGACCAGCGTGACGCGTTCACGCCGCGGTTGAACCGCAATCTGACCAGCGTGACGTGTTCATGCCGCGCCTGTACCGTGGTCTGGCCAGCATGACGTGTTCATGCCGCGGTTGTACCGTGATCTGGACAGCGTGGCGTGTTCACGCCGCGCTTGTACCGCGGTCTGGCCACCGTGGCGTGTTCATACCGCGCTTGTACCGTGATCTGGGCAGCGTTACGTGTTCACGCCGCGGTTACACCGCCATATGACCGACGTGACGTGTTCACGCCGCGGTTGCACTGCCGCATGGCCGGCGTGACGTGTTTACGCCGCGGTTGTGCCGCGATCACGCCAGCGTGATGTGCTCACGCCGTGGTTGTGCCGCGATCACACCAGGAAGACGTGTTCATGCCGCGGTTGCACCGCTGCATGGCCGGCGTGACGTGTTCACGCCGCGGTTGCACCGCCCCATGGCCGGCGTGACGTGTTCACGCCGCGGTTGCACCGCCGCATGGCCGGCGTGACGCGTTTACGCCGCGGTTGCAGCGACACATGGCCGGCGCGACGTGTGCTCAGCATCCGCAGCTGCTCACGACCGTCGACCTGGACCAACGTGGCACGCGCCGCGCCAGCGTACAAAGACGACGCAGAGAGCCGGAGGCGACTGCAGGGCTG